AAGAATCCAAATTCCAGGAGATAAAGAGTTCGATCATCAGATAATGTACCGAAAGGGAAGTTTGAATGGAGGGCCCGACGCTCTCAGTAGAATCCAAGTTATGCAACAGCCAGGAGAAGGCGAGGAACCAAGCAAGGAACTCACTCAGGAGCAAAAAGCAGAAATATTACGCGGAGCTCACTCGACGCCACTAGGAGCGCCCATGGGAATGAACAGGACCTATAAGAAATTGATTGGCCAGGCATGAAGAAAGATGTAGAGGAATATATTCAGAAGTGTGAATCCTGTCAAAAGAATAAGATTACTCAACTAAATACCAAATTGCCTTTACAGTTAACCACTACACTCAATTCGATATTGCAGAAGATAAACATAGATGTAGTTGGACCGATTAATGTTAGTTCCTCACAGAACAGGTACATTTTAACCATGCAGGATGAACTAACCAAGTATTTGATCGCCGTACCTTTGAGAAATCAAAAATTGAAAATGTAGTTTTGATGTACGGATGCCCTCAGGTCCTACTATCAGATCGCGGAGCCAATTTCTTGAGTGATATGTTTAAGAATGTTTGCAAGTTACTGCACGCGAAGAAAATTAACACCACTGCAGTGCATCCAATGACGAATGGGTCTTTGGAACGCGCCCACCGCGTTTTAATTGAATTTATCAGGCGTTTTGTAGATAAGGATCAATCCAACTGGGGCGATTGGATTAAACATGCTGTATTCGCATACAACACCACGCCACATGGCGCAACAAACTACACGCCGTTCGAATTGATGTTCGGGCGAGTTGCAAATTTACCGGGTTATTTACAGAAGCCGCCGGAAGGTGTTAACTACGCTTTGGATAGCTACGTTCAGGAGTTGAAACAAAGATTGCAAAACAGTTACACGGTTGCCAAGGAAAGGTTAGAAGTCTCCAAAGCGAGGAGTAAGGATTATTACGACAAACAGATACATGTACCCAAGTTCAAAGTGGGAGATCTAGTTTTATTACAGCATGAGAGTCCGCGGAAAAATCGTTCTAGGAAATTAGGCCCTAGCTGGATAGGCCCATATGCAATAAAGGAGATACAAGGGGTAAATGTTACCTTACAACTTCGGAGATCTAAACAAACTACAGTGCATGCAAATAGAATCAAGCCATTCTTTGTGTGATTTACAGATGGGGTTAATGACATGGATAGCGTGTATGGTCATCATAGGAGCAGAGACGCTAGATTTCAGACTCCAACAGATTCCGGAATCGCCAGGACTTTACTACGAGCACCTTGGAGAAGCCAGACTGTCTAGTAACGTTTGGAAAATTCTAAGCTACATTGATTTAGCGCGTGTTGATGAAAATTTCGAAAACGTCAGAAAATATGCCAAGTTCACTGTAGAGTTTTGTCAAGCGCATGAACGTTCAGACTGGGTAAATTTAACAGAATGCAGGTCTTC